GCGCAGCGTGACACCACCGACGTTCATTTGGTCTTGTGACGGACGAGAAGGTTGGACCGCCGCTTGTTGTTGCCGCTCGCCATTTTCCCGCCTTTTCCACCTAGTTTCCCCGCCAGACTCGCTCCTGGAGGACACCCGAATGGGAGAATGCGATGTTTGTGTTAAAACAACTCTGTATATAGATGGATTTACGTCTGGCAATTAATAACTAGGGTTGAAATAATAATGCTAGGTGATTTAGAGTGGCAACGAGGCCGCTGGGTGGCTAAGAGAGGCGGCTCGTCTCAAATGACACGATCACAATGGAGGCGGCTTCTGGTCTTACCGCCGCCCGCCTCCCGATAGGATCGCGGCTTTGGCTTCGTCACCCGGACCACAAATAATGACTTGAGGCAGACACACCTTCCCCGGCGTACAGATTATTACTAATTTATTCTTACTATGACCTGACTCGGGTGTTTGGGGTGGCTGAGCGGAGCTGAAGGAACAAGTTGTGGAGGAAGTCACTGGGGCGGGGATGGGTCTCGCACACGCTACACCTGCAGGCTGGGGCGTTTAGGTTGGCCGACGGGTCGTGGTGCATTCATGGGCGGGCAGGGGCGAGCCGAGGCGCCCACGATCCCGCCCCAAGTGTGAATGGTGGTAATAGGAGCCCCCCTTACCCCCCACTAACCCCTAGTACCCCTCTACCATCACCACCCTTCTCCCTCCCCTACCACCACATCACCACAAACACTTTGTACTACCGCCCGGGACCATGCACGCATGTACGCACCTACGCACGCACGTATATACCCTGCCCCTATCCTCAGATACGCATTGTATGGCCGAGGGAACTCCATTAGATTATAATGTGCTCAGTTCTCCCGCGGGGCGAGTCTTTGAGACCTGCGCTAAGCCGATGGTTCATCTTACATCTGCGCATATCATCTAGCGCAAAGGCGGTGGATAGTAAATGTATTTGGTGTTCTCAGCATTTTCAATCTAAATACTTCTCCAAGCTATTACAAAAGTGTTTTACTTAAATTCTAGCCTTCAAATTAGAAATCGTTTTAAGGGAACTATACACACTATATATATATATACAGTATATACTGTATATATATATATATATATATATATATATATATATATATATATATATATATATATATATATATATATATATATATATATATATATGTATATGATAATCTGCAAGCGCTTTCGTGTAATTCACATCTTCAGGTGATTTTATGCTAGAATACCTGCACCTACAGTGATTTACTTGCATATATATATATATATATATATATATATATATATATATATATATATATATATATATATATATATATATATATATATATATATATATATATATATATATATATTTTTTTCAAATACCATCTTATGAATGAAACGTTTCTTGGTAAATTTTTTTTAAAACTATTTAAATCTAGTTAGGGCAAGCTGCCATATACTACTACTGACACTGCTTGTATTCCCAAGACTGGTATATCTATCATTATAAAATTTCAGTTGATAACGTAAAAGGCAACAGCAACATTCACAATAATTACTGGTGACACATCTAACATACACTGGTAAGGAGATGAAATCACTGTTGTCAACTATTGAGCCGTCTGTAGTGTACAGGTACTTTATCACAAGATGTTGGAGGTGCATCTCAGAGGCCTTGTACCACCTCCTTAACACTGTTTCTGTCAATGTCGGAAAAAGTCGCAGGAAAAATTCAGAAAAAAATCTCCAAGAAAAAGGTTACAGGAAAAATATCAGAAAAAAAGTCACTACTAAGGAAAAAATCACAGGAAGAAAGTCAGAAAATGCCACAAGAAAAAAATTCAGGAAACAAGGAAACAAAAAGGATGTCAGAAAAAAAATCCCACTGTATAACTAGAGACAGTTGAGGGTTGGGTTAGGTTAGGTCTGGTCTAGTTAGAAAGTATTCGAACCCTAACCTAGTAATTGTGTTTAAATAAAATATGACGCTTTTCTGTGATATTTTCCGAGACCAAATAATGACTTCCTGAGATTTTTCATGGTTCAAGATACGACTTTTTTTTCCTGTGAATAATTTTACTTGCCAAAATTATGATTATTCTCTGTGTGACTTTATTTCCTTTACATTTATTATATGGCTATATATAAAATTAGTAAACGGAAATAAAATCACAGGAGAAAAGGTCATAGAAAAATAGTAAAACATTTGGTAGAACTTTTTTCTGTGACTTTTTTCCCACATCCCTAAAATTGTATTACGGTAAAGTTCAGTAATGATTGTCGCTTACCCAGTGGCCAGGGTCGTATTTACAGAAGAAGTAGATATCTCACAAGTGTCGTCGAATTACCACTGGCTTCCCGCCAGTCTCCGGTAATTTCCCGACGATCGGTATCAGTGTACAGACAACACCAGGCAGGTAGACTTACACCAGGTTACAGAAGCACACTTGTGCACTGTAGTCTTCTTTAAGTCAATAATTCTTCACAACACTGTTCACAGGGTAATAGCTTCACAGTCTGAACGTGTATTACTAAATAATTAATGGATTTATATTTTTCTTCGGTAACTGAAATCAGACATATGTATATCTTTTAATAACGACCGCGCGGAATTACAAGAAATATTATTTGTACGGTAACAGAACAAACATTCTTCAGGCTTTATTGTTAGTGTACCTGTATTCATAGTCCGTGGGAATAAACTGTATAATCGTAAAGATCCAGTAATAAACAAATATTACTGGAGTTTCCCTTAAAACATATAAGAAAATTGCTCCGGTGTCAGAAAATGTATTTAAGGTAAACTAAAGGAAATTTGTTCTATATGATAAAAACTAATTTTCTGTCGAGTGGAAAAGAACAATACTCTTAAACTGCTCAAGCTAGCAAGGCTGCCCACCGACTCTTTAAATATTATCAGCATCAGATTGGTCAAAGTTAAAATATAAACAACTGCTACTATTGGTTTAAAACACGTTAATTTACCCTCTCTTAGCACACTATAGTACGTGGAATTATAATATAATCAAACACTGGGGCAAGTCAACGGTGTTCTGTGGCGTCAAACTCCTTAATGACACCATTGACGTCTATCTTCATCACTATGGAGGAGATCTGTAGCTGATCTGTCATCTGTTAATTTGCCAGTGGAGTTTGGGAGAATATACCGAACACGTAGGACCCAGTAGTCTATAATTTGGGAATGTATTTTGTAAACTGGAAGAAATACTCTAATGGCATGGTTGCACGCAGTATGGGGCATCCATTTTTGTCACACCCATAAGCCTGAGGGAGTCACCATGAGCCTTGTACACTATCCAGCATTTATAAAAAAAAAAAATATTATATATATATATATATATGCCACAATGTTTCCTTGTCTGGAGGTGAAATTTGTGGCTTAGGAGGAATTTGATATTCATTTTCAGTGGCACTTGAGGATTCCCTGTTCACTGGGAAACTATCACTATCATCACTTCCAAGTCTAAATCACCACGTTCTTCATCAGGCAAAGCCCGAGTAATAAAACTGTGGAATACTTTATTGTATACATTCCAGTAAAAATAGTGTTAGAAGCGCAGTTACACCAGAAGCAACGGGTAAGAAACAAACCAGTAGACCGGAAGGTACATATATTACTCTCAAACTACCGATATACAGTTACGTCTAAATGACTTCCGTCGTAGAATACTCTCTAGACACCAGGAATGGTCATGAAATAACAAGTTAGTCTTGCATCATACTGTACTATGTTAAAATAAAAGGCTTATGGGTCATATTTAACGCCCAAAAGAGTTACCAGTTATTAGGATATTCAACATTTTGTTTAGCGAAAGTATCATGTCACGAGAATAACTAAATCCTTTGTGATGTAAACCTGTGAGCTCGACCCGGTGTGAGGCTAGAAACAGCCGCATTGACGTCATTTCACCCCTTACCATACATAACTTATGCAAATCATCATTACACGCATATTTAAACCATCAGCACCAAACAATGTATTATTCTGGCATGTAATAAACGCATTTAGATATTTTATCCCACAACGGCACACTCCACGCCCCAGGGTTATTTCCCAAGTTAATATAGGGTATGAATTCTGTCCATTACAGCAAACATGAAGGTTTTATTGGTTATATCAACGTTAACAAGGGGTATTCCATTAAAAACGGTAGGTTGGCGCAGTTTCCCTACACTCTCTCCACCATCTTTGTTACATCACCTTGCTATTCTGCCGAGAAGTCTGGGACATTCAATTGGCAAGGTTACAAAATCGTATTGAAACTTAAATATTGAGGAAATGCTTCCATGCAGAGAACGTTAAAACACGGCTTATTTTGCAAGTGTCCAAAAGACGAGAAGTTCTTTCAAGCCATTTTGGGATTCGACAGACGTAGAGCAAGTTAAACCACTACGCAAAACGTGCCATCCCTTGTACCAGGTGGAACTGTGGCAGACTGGAGAAATTTACCTAAAGACCGATTCGTAAATACCACCAACCAGGTTTCATTAAAGATAAGGGAAGTTGTCAGGGTTACGGACACAAGCCGAGACGTGTTCAAGTCACGTTGGTCCTTTTACTGAAGTAGAAGAGACTAAAGGGTGCACAGACTCCCCATGATAGCTGCGGCCTTGGCTACTAGACGATGGTTTAATTCAAATACACGGGAGCCTCCACACGCTCCACTTTCTTAACTTACCTTGGAACGCTTTCCTAGTTATGTAGAGAAACCGTTTACACACGTAGGGAACGTGGTTAAGCCATCAATGACTGAAGGTAGGAAGTGGTAAAATTACTGTAAAGCTTTATTGGTTTTGCATTTAAATGGCAATTCAGTTATTAATACGAATGAACGGCAGGATAGAGTTCATCAATAGGAGTTTACTGGAGGACCGCCACATTAGCCTTGGCAGTGAATAGAAACTTATAGAACCCTCAGCTCACGACACTTAAGCCAGATGGACTAGAAAAAATCAGGAACGAGGAATAAAGTTTGTGAAGTAACAGGTTTTATTCGCCAAAAACTTAACAAGTTCACATAAAAATGTTCACAACTTTCACAAACTTAAACTAGACTAGTTCTAAATCTTTAAAATAAATATCTGCAAGGTAAACTTCAAGGGTAGAAGGGCCAAAACATTAAGGCTAGCGACCTCAACAAGGGATTCCTTTTATTTCAACATCTACGGTAGTCACCAGGACCAAGGCGTCTCCTGCAACCTTTAATGTTTCTTCAATGTCCAGCTTCACTTCCAGCATCGTCTGGTCGTCCGTGTCCATCTCTGCCCTGATCTTCAACAACTCCTCCGCCGCGTCAATAATATCTTTTAGTTTGTTGCAAGATAACAATTGGACACAAATCTACAACATCCTCGCTCCTGGGTCTCCGGCGAAAAATACGATTAAGCCACTTCCAAACGGTGTCTACGGAGTTTGCTATCTTCCGTAGGATCCTCAGCAACTTCCTTAGTTTACGGGATGCACTGCGGGAAGAGATAATGGTGAGAGAGTCTAAGGGGCCGTACTTCTTGACAGCCTCGTGCAGGTCCTCCAGGATCTCCTTCAGTCTGGGCGCCTGCTGAGCCATCGTCGACACCGCTGGCCGGATCGTCACCACACACTTGCAGCTCTCCACTGTCACCACGCCAAGAGAACAAGGATATTTTTAGTGGGAGTTTGCGATGGAACGCTTACATACACCAACAGACAAATTTAGTCTACTTAAAAATGCAAAACGTAGACACCATTAGAGATTTATCCTGCAATTTTAACAAGTGTACAAACAAATACAAAGTTAACCTTCATAATGAAGATTAATTATTTGTGGGCCACCTAAAATGACAGGCTTTATAACCCAACTATCCAATCTTTTACTCGAGATACCCTGCCAGGGTGAAGCCCAACACTGGACACCAGCTCCGTTCGGAACCATACATAATGGGCTCTAAACGCTTATTTTTTTATTTACTTGAGCTTTTGTTTCCGAAACATTTGACCAAGCGTTGCCTTAATTGCATTAAAACTTACAAAATAACATTTATACGTTCTTATTCTATTTTAGTCATGTGCAACAGTTTAACTATATCAGTTGAACAATGCCCTATGTCAAGACATGTTCGTCCCAGCATTACACTGGATAGGATTAATAGGTAAAATGGCGACTGTACTAAACACTAGAAACATACCGGTTACGTTTAGTAGGCTGGTCGGAAGTGGTGTTGATGGTGGTAGCTCCTATTCACCTGTGTGGCAGATGATAGTCAACTAAAACTAGACAAGTTATTACATTAACTATTTCATCAATCCAGAATAAATTAGTCAACTGTAGTTTAAACTCAATAAACCAAGGTCTAATAACGAATTGGTTTAGCCAACATGAACTATTCTTGTAGCAATACACAATTTTCATCGGCATATATTCCAAGGTTAGGAACCATCTACTGATCAGACTACAGGAAGAGTACACGAGAAACAACCGCGAGTATCCAGCTGCGAGGCTCACTATAACAGCAGTACAGTAGTTCACTGACATAGTTAATGCTTTAAGTGAATATAGTTTTTCCAGCCGACATTACAATCTAAAATGCTCCAGTTAACTACACAGCAGTTAAGTAAGGCTTGACATGTTTACCAAAATAGGTTCCATTTTGCCTGCTAATAAACCGAGTAGCTCATTATAGTTTGCCATGTTAGGTCGCTTTCTGCGAGTAAATCACGTTCTCGAGTCCCTAGCTGCTGTTCACGATAAACTTACTGTACACGCGGTAGCTGCAGCACTTACCTAGTCGTAGATTTATGATCATATGCGCCATGTTAACGTTTTTCTGCAAAATTCCGAGCCAATCTTGAACCTCACGGTCATTCCGCCTATCCTGGTACATCATGCATATGTCGAATACACAAGTCTCTGAGGAGGAAAAGACGTTCAGTAAACCTCAGAAGTTACTTACAGTGAACATAGAGAAATGCGAATGCCACCTCTCGTGGTTAGTATTCCAAATTACTAGGCCAAGACCATACGAGAGACTTCAAGCCAGTTTCGTTCTGGCAGCTACCGACAATAGCATTTCAACAGTTACATCCCCTCCACTTCCTACAGTATCAAGTAGGGAGGACTCGCTCACCCAGGTAGCCTTCGAGCCCTTCGGTCCGGTCAATGACGGACCCCAAGTGCTTCTCACATATACTCGTGTACTTGGCCAGCTGTCGCTCATCAGCTCGGCACAGACGTTCCTGTAGAGACAAACATACGAATAAACAATTGGTGGAGCTTTATGCCAATTCTTACCAGGGTAATACAAGACTTGACCACTCATTGTCCATTCGTAGCCTCATCGATCCCATCAGTCAAATATTCAACTTGCAGCAATGCTTTTGTTTTACTTAAGGAAAATTACAAATAAAAATACTTTATATGGTAATAAACCTGGTTTGAGAGGACTGGTATTTTATTAATAACTTTAAACCATGATAACTTTCGAAGTATATAGTTTAAGTAAGGAAGGTAATCTAGTCTAGACAAAAAAGTAATTATCTACTTAGTTGACTTCAGAAGAAAAGTTCATAACCAAGCGAGAAGTACTCACGACTCTGGGAGGTGGACAACTCTTGCATTGCCGACATCTGTAGTCGGTCTGGTCCAGCGTCTGAAGAAAATAAAAAACATGAGAAACAAACACCGGCTGAAGTTTCCCTCCACCTCAGAAGGTAACACCTTGAACTAGTGTACCACGGTCAAAGAGCGCACCTTAAAGTAACCTTATTAAAAGATAAACCTGGCCAGAATACAAAACCTAATAATGGACTACACTCAGTGAAGCCTAGAGTCAGGTGCAACTTTCTCATAATTTGGAGAACCGATTATTGTATTCCATTACGATTTCTGGCCTCGAGTCAGGTGCAAGTAAAGTCCAGCACCTCCCCATTCAAAATTGATTAACAAGCGGAATGTCAAAGGTCTAGAAAAAAAAGCAAGTATCTCACCCTCCAGGAATGAGGGAAAGTGGACGGCAAGTACTCAAGCGGGTGCACGTCGCCCTGCCTGCTAGTGAAGTCATCAGCATCATAGAAGTTGAAGTGTCCACACAGACCGTCCAGGTTGTCTGCGTGAGTGGGGTGAGCCCACACGTCCAGACGATGGCGGCAGTGCTGCACCTGAGGTACAGCGGCTATTTTAAACAAAACCCACTATTTTTACATTAGATTTACGAGTTAAGGAAATCCAAGGAGAGATATTCCGTGGTCTATCTTAATTAAACCAGTATAAATGCACTTCAATACGGCGCCTAACTCAATTTAATGCAAGACCCGAATTTTAATAATTAAAAATGTATACTACAAGCCTCAAGGCCACAATGGTTACTGCAGCCATTTATAGCTACGGGGTCAAATATTCCTCAGTCACAAAACTTTATTCCTTTACCTTGTGAAAGTTACACCAACTACAATAATAAACTATATAGTACGCCTTCCACAAAGTTCTCCAACAACTGGGCAACACACTCCAGGAGCATCATGGCTTGGGTCATCGCGGAATGGTTGATATTCCTGGTTGCGAAGACCCAATACTTCAGACTACTGCAAGTTACTCCTCATAGTATTTACAGGTGGATAAACATCCAAAACTTGAAATAAAACTTCCTAGGAGCAACGTTCAAATTTTGTTTTTCATTGTAGGACCCTCAGAGAACTTTGCGACTGGTGTACAGTGATTCAGTATCAATCTAGAGCTCGAAAGTTAAATCACTGACCATAAGCTTAGAAGAGCCTAGTAACATAGTACACTGGCCGTTGCGCCACGCCAGAACAGGGTGAACTTTGGATGAACACCTCACGGGTTCCGCTCCAACAAGAGGCACAGCGTAGGGGTCGCCGTTCACCAGTAGCTGTAGGTTTGAGCGGCAGTCACGTACGGTAATTTTATTTAGTAGGTCTCAAACTAAATGACTAAAAAATATAAAGTTAATACTTCTGGGTAGTATATATGGACTAAGCAGCGGAGGAGTTCCTGGTATTACTCGATATTCATTTGTGCAAAGGTTTAGTTTTTTAGACACTTAAGCGAGCGCTAGTTTTGCGTTTCCAAGGGTAATAACCGCGCTCTGCTGCAGTTCGCGGCAGTTTCCTTTTCAGCATGACGTTTGTCGCCGGTCTCGTATGGACGCAAATTGCGAATTTAGAGACAAAGTCACCCTGCAAGTTTTCAAAAGACAACGGCATTGTTCATTTTTAATATACCACACAACATGAACCCCTGTGCTCTCGGATCTGAAAGAAATTGGTTCATCCCTTCCTCAAGGCCGTGGCTCTATGTTCCCCGCCATCAAAATAAATAACTCCGCCGCCAGGGCTGCATAAGCGCAGATGCTGCCCCACGATCTCGCCTACAGATAAAGCCTCAAAATACACCATATAACAAGTTCTTAACACTACATTACTGAAATAGGAAATGTAGGTTTTCATACCTACAAACGTGATTTACTTTTATTTTATAACTTGAAATTTACAGAAACTAAAGAGTTAAAAACCTGTCAACTTTTTTGTAAACTTAATTTCGGCCGCTGGTTAGTCATGAATAATTACCTCTTACTGCAAGACATTAAGCAGTTCGCGATACACCAAACAAATCAAGTTAATTTTAAAGTGATAACAGTAACTACTTAAGACTAGGAATTTCAGTATTTTTTTTATGCAGGTTTAGTGCCAAATTTATCCAAATACCATATACAAAAATATTTACTCGATGAATCATCTGGGTCGGGCACTGTACTCACATCGTCTCTTGCAATCTCTACGCCAAAACCAATTGAATGTCTACTCACGTTGAACACGCTGTGGCCCAAAGAAATCACGGTGTGCTTATGGTCCTTGAAAGTAGAGCGTCCGAGGCAGGAAGGTCCCCCAAAACACGGCTCAAAGTCACTGAACACACCAGCCTCGGGGTTATAAGTCCTGTCAGTCTGAGCCACGGAGTAGTTACAGTAGCCGTGCCAGTCGTACCGATAACCGTCGAAGGTGACGAAGTGGGGGTCGTCATATACAGAGCAGTGTTTACAACAGTCGTCTATGTCACCTCTGGGAATCCACCCCTTCCTGGTACACTGCATCACTACGCAGTGACCCGCCAACTCTGCTCCCTCAGCGTACAACAACCCGTCAAACTCACAACCTGTGGAATCTGGAGTTGTAGACTAAGCTTCCAATAAGTTGTGGGCATCTATGGTTAACGGTCCCAAGTCCGTTTAACAAAGGCAATTTTTTTTAGAGATTAAAATAGGTCACTTCTAGCCAGTGTTGCCTAGTGTCCCGCGTCTAGTTTAATTATTAAAACCCAACCAGTCAAGTTAATACAAATCCTATGAACCACTATATATGAATCAAAGAAATATTTAGTAAAATAATGATTCATTGGCGACCAAAATAAACAAGTCGCCAAGTTAATCAATTTAAGAGTGGATAGATTCAGTTAAGGTAGTCAGAAGATAAAGAAAATTACAGTGACTTCTGCCGGGGTCACCCAGGAAGCGAGGGATGATCTTGCCGTAGTTACACACTAGTTGAAGACATTTGCTGGGTAGATTGAACACCACCTGGCCATGATCCACCACGGTGTCGTTGAAGCAGCAGTCAACTTGTATGATACCGACATCTGGAAGTTAGTTGAAAAATAATGAAACATTTCACGACAGTTCATTTTATTTAACTTGCAAATTGATTATTAAAGTGAAGTTTTCTTAAATAATCATGCCAGTTTCCATTTATTAAATTAGATCTTATACAAGTACACTATAGACAAGCAAGAGTCAACATTCTAGCATGCAAGAAAGATTGCAGTGGACAAGTAGAAGTATATTGCAACAAGTATCCATTTAGGGACCCGAAAACCTATTATGAACATAGTTATATGAAACCAGTCCAGCGCAGTATATTCCTTGTATTTTAAAAGCATCTTAAATTTAACAATAGGAATTCAGAAGATTACTCAAATATTCATCGTTATACATACTTGCACTAATCAGCCGAGGTCCCTCAGGCTGTGCCGCAGCCGCCGTCAGGAGCGCCAGTAAAACACACCTCATACTCATATCTGGCGGGTTAGACCACGCGTTTTAGCTAGTACACTACTACAGGATGTAAAAGAACAGCAACAGTATTTAGTAACGTTCCAGTAATCACCATTTTAAAAATATTAAAACGTGTATGGATTCCGTTATTCACCAATTCAAACAATAGTCATGAAAAAGTAAAGTCTTCAACTGCTATAGCAACTCAGCTATTTGTATTCAAGATGAACCAAAACACTTAAGGGATCTACATGGCGATATCTACATTAAACTAACCAAATTTAAGCTTATATTAACCAACATGTACATTGTACAACTTCCATATCCGGCTTTTGAACTAACCCAAAGGAAATAACAAGCCAAACAAAACCGTCTACTATATTATGTATCAAACCAGATGACTAAACGTTTATAAACTTTGATCTTAAATTAAAAGACATAATCAAACAACAAAACAAAAGAAAACTTTAAGCTGTATAACTTAAAATACAACACAAACAATGCAAACTCACCGCCTGCAGCACCCATTACTAGCCGTACACTGACCGACGACTCACCGACGATTCCTCTTTTATACACGCTTCAACACCACTTCTCAAACTCTGATTCGCTAAAGAAATACATATATGTATTCAGAAACACACCTGATTGGTTGGCGTATATAGAGAGAACACAATTGGCTGAAGGACTTTTATCGAGAATTTTCATTGGCTGAAGGTGAGTGCGTACAGTTAACAATCACGTCGACAATTCTCCCGTTCTGTAAACATTATTGATTCGAAATAAAATACCTTTAAACGGCTAAAAGTATTCGGTTTCATTTGCATTATTATAATAAGCCTTGAACATGGACTGTATTTCACTCGAGGAAAGTATTTTATTGCCGTTATTCTGAAAGATTACTGAATGGTTCATTGTGTAATGGCTAGTTGGCACACACACACACACACACACACTCGCTCATAGATACGCTACGTTTGTATTTCTATCTATACTCTTAAAGGGTTATTGTATCCGTCTATGTCTGTTTATACTCTTAAAATTGTCGTTGTATTCATGTATTTCTATGTATGGTAGTAACGACCGTATTATATTGTGCTTATTGTTAACGTTCTACACTATACAACAATTAATTAAAAATATATAATTAATGGTCAATAAGACTTTCATAATATCTGGGAGTAATTTAGAACGTAAAAATTATCACTTTATTTACTCACCAATAACACTAAAACGCCTCTATATTCTTGTCGGTGTAAATACCTTCACAATAATAAAACGACATTATTTCTGGCAACGCAATTAGAAATAACTATTACAGTATTTTTGTTAACATAAATAAGATTACTTTATTATCTCTCTTCAACAATAACTACTTTTAGCATAGATAATTGAGTTACGCACATAAAGTACTGTACTGACTACAACCCCTCTTTCACCGCTTACCCAGCTTTCATCACTGGTTACCAGCGGCCAAGATCGTATGTACAGAAGCAGTAGATATCTCTCAAGTGTTGTCGAATTAACACTGGCTTCCCACTAGTCTTCAGTATTTCCCGACGATCGGTGTCAGTGTACAGACAAACACCAGGCAGGTAGACTTACACCAGGTCACAGAAGCACACTTGTAGTCTTCTTTAAGAGTCAATAATTCTTCACAACACTGTTCACAGGGTAATGTCTAACAGCTGGAACTCTCACTTCGAATATATGACCAGCACAATACTAGTGTACAATTCCTTAGTCTGGTCACTTAATATTGATCACAAAAATTCCACAGTACTTGCGTAACAATTATCTCCAGTTGTTCTACCAAGCTTGTTGTCCCTTAAACCCTGAGAAGAAACCGTTGACTGTCCTCTTTGGCAGCTCTCGAGTTTTTATAATATACTCTACGTCTCGCCAGACGCCTACAGTAGACTAGAGCATCTAGGGACATCCATCACAGGCGCTACACGTTGGAACGAGAACTCCTGGATGATCTAGGCTTTCAATAATAAGTAAATCATAAAAAAAATGATGCAACACATTCTAGAATAATCTTAGATAAGTAATACATCAATATATTCAAGAAAATTTTTCTAGATTAGCCAACATAACTGCAAATACTCGTATAAATAACAGTATTGTAGCTATTCATGTTTTGGCAAGATTTGTTTAAGTGTTTCATCCTCTGTTTTGTTTCGTCCTTTAGTAGTGGTAGTAGTACTAGTATTTTATTTGTATATTCTTTGTTATTTAATTTCATATATTTATTTATAAATTACTATTATGTTAGAATTTAATTAATACTAAAAAAAATGGAATTAAAGTGTAGCCAACATTTCGAAAGGTATATCGGTTGTACGGAAATATTTTAATAAATTAAAAATCTTCCACTATTAAATATCCCTCCCTTTCTTATTTATCCAATTATCATTATTAATCAACTGTCCATAATAAGGAGGAATAAATAAAACGAAAATAAATAAATAACTCATTTTAAGGAATTATTACCAAAAGTGTTAGGCCCATAGCATCGTTTCATCAGTAGCCTCAATGCGTCAGGGAATCACTTAACATCTGTTCAATCAAATCACTCGCCACTATTTCAGTGCCATAATATACAAGAAAAATTATAAGAGAGAATCAGGAAACCTAATTCGTAAAGGAAAAAGGCTTAGAAACTATTTAAACCACGATATTTGTGTAGTCCCTTGGCTAGTGAGATTCTCGAAGCGTTGCTAACAACAACAACCTGTAATTGTGAAGGTTTATTTAAGTGTCTCAGAACAAAACACCAAGGTGATCGTCTTCATGTACCCGGTTATACTGGATCCTGATTTTCTTACACGATTTGTATGGGCAAAGAGACACGAAATCCGAGGTGAGAAGAAGAACCAAGTGGTAGTTAGCCTTGATGAAGGGAGACGTTCAGGAGAAGATATTCATTTCTGGAATAGAGGATATTGGAGAATTGCAAAGTTTATTGAACAATCTGTTCTGTGTTACAAGTGGTGGGGCCATAGGTTCCTCAATTTGCAATAAGAAGCCACAGATGCGTGTTGCCCAGTAGCAGAGCATGGGGGAAAAGGAGGAAGGACGAAGAGTTGCTGGAGACAACTCTACCTTAGAACGTGTGGGTGGAAGAAGAGGATGGAGCAGAGTAATACAGGTACAGGAGCTGCACCAAAAGATAAGGTAATTGACGATGTGTATGGTGTAGTATAGTTGAACTCAGATGCTTAGAAAAAAGTAGAGTACAACCAGAAGGTAATTGACCATTTTGTTAACATATAAATGTGTATGTTGAACTAAAATGAAAGAAGGTTGAAAATAATATAGTGATAAATTCTGACAAAATATCTTTGGTATGGGTGACCGGAAATGTGGGGTGGGGTGACATACCCGAAGTATTACATGATAAGGTATTAGCCTGAGTTAAAAAAACAGTGAGAGAATAAGGTTAGTTTCTGTTGTTAATAGGGAGGACACTAGTTTAAGTATACTTTCATGGAATGTAAATAGCTTACGTCCTCGGACCACAGATGTGCATGCTTACGTATACACTGTTGTATAAGATGGATGTTATAGCCTTACAAGAGACGGGTTTAAGCTATTATCAATGTTTCTGTTTACCAGCTAATGATATAAATAATACAAGAGGTCTGTTAACTTATGTTCGGAAAAATGTACTGGTTGAATTGGTAACAGCTGACAAGCAGAATGGGGTTGAAAGTTTGTGTTAAAATCTACGTCCAAGTGAGGTCTATATGTATTGTTAACATCTATGTACGTAAATCCTCAAAGTTTGGATATTGATGATATGCCTGAGTGCCCATTTAATGTTTCTAGTATTTTGGTTGATGATGTTAATGCTAGACACGAAGTCCTGGGTACTATGGGATCCAGCAACATTAATGGAAGGAGATGGTTACATTTCTTGGAGGAGTTTGATGATAATGAAATATTGTGGAACCATGAGCCTACCCACATACATGCAGTATGTTTTAATACATGTGGAATAAGAGGGATTGCTGAGATAGTTAGGGATTTACTTGGTGATCATTTTGCATTACGAATTACTGTACATGTTAACAAAATACAGAAGTTAATTAAGCGGAAAAGATATTGGTTGCCGGAAGACAAAAAAGAGGAGCTACTATACCAAAGGATGTTGAAATATTTTATGATGATTTATTACATATTATTGATTCTGTTTTGACAAGTAAGGGTAAATATAAAGGAGAAATAAATAATGGAAAACGTAATATGTATGTTAAAGACAAATTGGTTCAGGGCTGGAGTAAACTCTTTAGAACGGTGCAAAGAGAATGGAGTGTAAATCCAAATGATAATGAAATCATGGAAGTACTGATAGAAACAGCAAAAATGTGTAGAGGCGAGGAATAAATACTGGACAGACTTTTGAGGGAGACTCGCTAAAGACAAGAGCTTGGGTGACGTATGGAAGGAAGTGAATAAAGTGGGAGGTGTTGGAAGCAAGGGCAACGGCTACCCTGACCCACAGGGCAGGGCCAGTCAACTTAGTAGGAAATGGGTTGGGACTGCTAGTTTTGCCGAACTACCCCCGAGTGTGCAGGCCTCATTATAAAGTAAGAATAGACTTAGGCGTGAGTTAGTATAAAGTCAGTGTACACTGGAGGATGATACATGTGTTCCTATAATGAGGCGAGTTATTATATGCGTTTAAAAGGGGAAAGTCTACGGCACCCGGTGATGATGAAATAACATATGATATCCTTAACTGTCTGGCTGGTATGAGAGAAGGGCCCCTGTTAGACTTGTTTAATGTCTTATAATGGAGGTTGTATCCCTCTTAAGGGAAGAAAGCAGTAATTATACCAATACCAAAGAACAATGGAAAGTGCCTTCAATCTTAAGTGATTTTTCTATAATATTATTATGAGTTGATGTCTGTCATTATGAGTTGATTGTCTATAACCATCAATGTCGTGTAGGTATTTATGAGTTTATTACCTACAATGATGCGTTTTGTCTGATGCTGTACTGCCACTTTTAAATAATGAGTTGCCTGTCAGTAATTATGAGGAGCTCCGTAATCACGAGAATAATAATATTGAAATAATGAACTGAGAGTTTATAATCATGAGGCTATTAGTATCTCATGAGCCACAACTAAATATGTGGGGGATACATATCACTTTCATGAAGATTGTGTTTCATGTGGATAAATGTACAGTAAAACGACAAATATCTCTTGAGGAATTTATTGTAGGAAGTCTCAAATACACCACTACACACCCTGCTGCTCTCTATGTAATATTCAAAATAACTCTTTTTCTATCATGGCACAGATAGAAATAGCAGAATTGATCAAATATATTTCTTTTATTGTTTTGATACAAACATAACAGCAATGAGATTCAATATATATAGATCATCCAAAAAAATAAATGAAAAAGATAAAATATATAATCATCTGTCTTCAGTAAAATTTGACATATATTATAAGTAACTCTAATATGTAATTATATATTTGTACGTAACATACTGAAACCATCTTATCCGTACACAATAAGGTTATACTGTACTATGGGTATAACAGAGAGCTGACTTGGTCTCTCAGTATGGTGAGATCAAGGTACTAAGATCACGCTACGTTCAGATTACGGTACATTGCGATCACACACATCTCGTTACTTTATGAATATAACTTAAGTACATAATTTCAGTTAAATGAAATTCTGACTTATATCTTAGGAGTTGTTTGGCTGTGAGAATGTACAAGTGACCAGGCTCAGTGATGAAGGATCTTGTGTACATTGTGCAGTGTTTCTCTTCTACTGATGCCTGATCAGTTGGAGGCGTTGTGTTGTCAAGTTCACTCTTGATACGGTAACATCTATACCTATTTAAATTAACAGCTTTCTTTCAATGGTTGTAAAAGCGTACATACTTTTCACAACTTCAAGAGTTGTACTCGTTTAAATACTCTTACTGTACATCTTTTATGTGGTTATATAGTGTACTTATTGTAAGTGGTTATATCAAGTGTACTTTAATTGTACATATTTAAATAGGTTAGGAAGTGTACATATAGTTTCATTTTTAACTTGTGGTTGTACACAGAAAGTGGTGATGGTAACAGTAGGGAGCACAATGATAAATAAGAACATCAGTCTTGAAAAGTCATCATACAGTAACAACAGCTTAGAGTATACTCAATACACCAAGAAATTCAGGTATGCCATATCTGACCGATGCTCTGTCGATAACGTATAATAATAACCTTTATTTGTGTTGTGTATCATGAAGCAGTTTCTTCTTTACAGACTACAATGGCCAACGGATAAGTATCAATCAATACACAGGAATACTTCACTTAGTGCATAACCTTTACAGTACATGTCATGAATACACCGAACCTCGTTTGGGTCTTTGAATGTGGGTACTTGACGATGGAACCACACTCCGAGCGCTCGACATCGGATTATTGGCGAAGGAACCTCATTTTGAGTGTTCCTAAGTGGGTTGTTGACGAGTTTCTTTATAAACCCATGATTGGGATACAGCAACACTGGCGCTGACAAAATATATAAGAATTTGATTATCAACAAGGGGAAAAGAGGGGTGAAGAAAGTCTTGTAACGGTTCCCAGCCTCGGCAAGTAGGTGTTGTTTATTATGACGTTACAGTGAGTGCGATCTAAGAGAGAACCTACGACAGAGAGATGAATAAACATTATAGATAGTCACAACACCAGATACAGAACGGATAGTAAGATTTGGAGGGAATTTAGAGGAAAAAGGAGAGGAATTCTCATACCTATTGTAGTCAGAACCATCTGTTGTCACGAGTCACAGGACACTACACGCCTTTGTAGATATAACGCTCACATGTATTCATTTAGTTAAAAAAAAATCTGGATTCGCTAATCTAATAGCTATCGTTTTCTTAATTGTTATCTAATGTTCAACGGGGTATAAGAATTGTTATAGGAAGATGCCCCCTTCATTATTTGTCACTTGTTTTTATTTTCATCTGATCCTGAGTAACTAATGCAGAGCTAAGTTGTTTATAAATCATAAAAACTGATAAAACGTCAAAACAATAATGCACAATTCTCCTTACTTCACCAGCAACATATCCAATACTAAAAATACGTAATGAATAAAATCACTAAACCACTTACTTTCGATTATTTATTTATGTTTTTGTTTTCAGGCGATACGATCCAACCTAAACTAACTTAACCATAACTAATCTATTTGGGTCAGTCTCGGGTAGGATCATGTCATCTATAAAGATAAATAAAGTCTAGCGGTTCTATTCGTGTAATTTTATAAACATTTTCTTTGGTAACTTTGCCTCTTCGAGTTTCTTTTATATTTTAAGGGATAACTTGTGTAAATACTAAATTGTTTGCATGAGTAGAGACAGTTAGGGCTTCTTGGTCCATTTTCTATCTGTTACCTCTCGTTATCTCAGGATTAATCCGTGAACACCCCAGATTATTTACTAGAAGTTGTAGTGTGTAACATATAAACATTTTCCTTCGTTTCTCCTTTTTTTTTCATTCTCGATGAGGTAAGTAACAAAATTCATGGTGTTAAGCAAGATAAAATACGATGTTTGCATGGAGAATGGGAGGGGGGGATCCCAAGCTAGATTTTCTAAAAGTTTTCTTTCATAAAAAACATAAAAAAATTCTCGTGATTTTAAATTTATAGGAACATTTAAAACAGCTAAAACGATATTTTCTTGATCATTTTTTCTTCTCAATCGTACAGGAAAAACCATCGACAATCTCCCAGCTGCTGACACAGAGGTTCTTGGGATATAAAATACGGTAATGTCAATCTATGTAATGGTGAAGCAATTTTATATATATATATATATATATATATATATATATATATATATATATATATATATATATATATATATATATATATATATATATATATATATATATATATATTCATTTTTTTTTCAATTTGTATCCGAACAGAAGAAACTAGTATAAACACGAAATACAATTACACAGAGAATAATAGGATGTTAGATTTACACGAACATCTCTCCCCTGGTTTTCATTTTCAATTTGGTGTTTCTTTCAGTTGTTCAGGAGTAACTCGTAAAAATCTCACCAAGTCGAGATGTTGATTATTAGAAAGCCATTGAACATAAAGGGAAACATAAAGGCCTGAATGTTATCAACGGCATCAATGTTTAAGCCGAAATATTATAGAGTTGGCCAGACTGGGTTATATATAGGAGGCACCCTAGAAGAAGGTGTGTAGAGGGCGAGGAAGGGGTCAACACCAGGGAGGAATGGGCCTCATCGCCGTCTCTTCATGGTCTCGAAGTCGCCCAGACCTCCGGTGAACAGGTCATTCGAGGCGTCCCAGTCTACGGACCTCTTGTACAGTGGTCGGTTGTCGTCCTCCTCCTCATCCAGGTATGAGTCCTCGTCGTCCTCGCCTTCCTGTACGCTGCGTCGTCTCCTGTCGTCGAGGTCTCTCTCAATGGGAGGTTTCATTTCTACCAGTAAGTCGCTATCCTCCAGGTTCCTCTTGGCACGATTCTCCTCCTCTTCCTGCTGTAACTGTTGCAGCATCCTCATTTCCTGCTCCCCCACGCGCTTCCTCATGGTATAGAAGTCACCAAAGCCGCCATTGAAGGTATCGCCGTAGAACCCGCTGGAGTCCATCTCGGGGCGACGTTTATCAGCTTCCATGTCGTCTCCTACTTGACGCTTTCTTCTCGTTATCTCCTTTTCCACTTCTCCTGGTGTTTCTGCCTTCTCCTCTTCATCCTTCTTCTTCATTGTGTTAAAGTCACCAAATCCTCCTGAGAATGTGTCACCATAGAAACCACTCGAGTCCATCTCTGGCCTCTTCTTCATGGTGGAGAAGTCTCCGAACCCTTGGCTGAAGGTGTCTCCGTGGAAGCCACTGGCACCCATCCCCAGGCGACGCTTCTTCATGGTGGAAAAATCGCCGAAGCCTTGGCTGAAGGTGTCTCCATGGAAGCCACTGGCGCCCATACCCAGCCTCCTCTTCTTCATGGTGGAGAAGTCTCCGAAGCCTTGGCTGAAGGTGTCTCCATGGAAGCCACTGGCGCCCATACCCAGCCTCCTCTTCTTCATGGTGGAGAAGTCTCCGAACCCTTGACTGAAGGTGTCTCCGTGGAAGCCACTGGCGCCCATCCCCAGGCGACGCTTCTTCATGGTAGAGAAGTCTCCAAAGCCCTGACTAAAAGTATCTCCATGGAAGCCACTGGCGCCCATACCCAGCCTCCTCTTCTTCATGGTGGAGAAGTCTCCGAACCCTTGACTGAAGGTGTCTCCGTGGAAGCCGCTGGCACCCATCCCCAGGCGACGCTTCTTCATGGTGGAAAAATCGCCGAAACCTTGGTTGAAGGTGTCGCCATGGAAGCCACTGGCGCCCATACCCAGCCTCCTCTTCTTCATGGTAGAGAAGTCACCAAAGCCTCCGGAGAAGGTGTCGCCATGGAAGCCGCTGGAGGTCATATCAGGGCGCCTCTTGTCCGGAGTTTCCGTCTCGGAGGGTTGTGCCTCTCTCTTGTTGCGCTTAACAGGTGAGAAATCTCCGAAGTTGTGGGTGAAAATTCCCTCATGGAAACCCTGGGCGCCCATGTCGTTCGGTGCCCTCTTCCAGTCGTTGGAGGCCAAGGAGAGGAGGTAAGGATTGATGGACCTCTTGTAACTGTGCATGAAGTGCTGGGGGATGTATACGTCTAGGTAGGGGTCGTGTTTCTTCATGCCGCCCTCGCTGAAGAAGTGCTGGGGGTAATAAGCATCGACATACTCGTCCCTCTTCCTGGGCACGCCGTTGGGTAGGTCCTTCTGGTAGTAATCTGCTGCAGCCTCGCTACTTCGCTTAACTGTTTTCTTTGCAAAGGCCACCATAGGGTCGTATCCCAGGCTCTGGAGGTAGGGATCGTAGGTATCGTCTCTCTTTGACCAGGCCATCATGGGGTCGTAGCCGATACTCTGCATGTACGATTCATATCCGTTCCTTTTGGCTTCCCTTTTGCCCCAGGCCATCGAAGGGTCGTATCCAATAGACTGCATGTATGACCCGAAACCTGGATCATAGTTCTTCTTGGCCCACGCTGACATAGGGTCGTATCCGATGGCGGTCATGTAGGCATCGGAGCCGTCGGTGGAGCGCTTAACCACGGCCTTGGAGGAGGAGAATAGACCCTCGTCGTGGGATGGTGCTAGGACGTTGGACTCCGGACGGGAGAGTGGTGGAGCCCTCTTAAAACCCTCGGGGAAGATGCTCGACAAGACTCCTCCGTCAGTCGCCGCCTCTGTAACATATTGTTGGTATTAGCTACTGGGCATTGGGAAGACTTAGAAGGATGAGCAGTGGATTAGACTATCATTTTGTAACATATGAGTGCAGTGCTATCCAACACATACAGAGAGAGAGAGAGAGAGCAGTCGCAATAGATCAATGTCATAATCAGAATACAGGGAAATCTTGGCCACTGGCTACAAGGGGCGTGTAGGAGTGTGGGGACTTGGCTATGGTGCGATGTGTTTCTTTCGCATGATCAGTTTATATGTATGATTATCTCTTTATGAGTATAGTTGGTGGAAGAAAAACTCGGTAATGAGACAAGAGTATTACATTCTCTTCCTTTTCGACCAGAGAATAAAGTAGCTATTCCTGTTTCCTTCACTCTTATTGTTTCTTTCACCAAATATACTCATATGTGTTAATATCTCTCATTATCTCTGTCTATCTCCGTTTTATTCGTCTAACAGTCTGCCTGTCTATCTGCCTCTATGTATTATTTAAAGTACTGTAATCTCATTAATTTAAATAACCGCCAAAATAATAAGTATTTAAATATTAGTTTATAAACCAAAAACACTTACAGTTCTTCTTCGGCATAACAATATAGATAGTGCATCACAAGCATTACAAATCCACCATTAACATAGAAAGTACATCAGTACCATAAAACTATATCATTACTGTCAAAATTACACCATTACCGTCAAAAATACATCGACTAAAAATACATGATTACCGTAAAAATCCACCATTACCGTCACAAATACATTTACTAAAAATACATGATTACCGTAAAAAATCCATCATTACCGTCAATAATACATCATCAATTAAAATCCACGCGAAGCTTTGGTACAGTTCCACGACGGGTCAAACAGCGGTACTCAGTGTTACGACATTTCCTAAGTTATCCATAAAACGTAAAGTGACCTCCGAGGAAGCCTATTATAGTCAGTGTGCATAAATGATCCGTTGCTTAACATGAATACAAAGGTAAACATTATATATTATCTAATCATCCAAAGTGGAGTAACAGTCTGTTTCTTTACTGTACAAAAAAAGGGACTTATATTTCCCCGAAGAACTGACCCAATGCTCAATATTGGTACTCTCCACTTCCTGTTTTTCAATTTGTATTTCCATTTCTTATTGTTTTCTGTGACTTGCCGAGGGGTAAATAGCGGAACTAAGTGTTGGTTCTGTTGGGTGTTCCTGCATCGTTTCTCAGCCGAAGATAATTAGGGATATTGTAATACCTTTTATCAACACGTGTGAAATGTTTTGAGATCCATTTTCATTGTTGGTGTCATTGAGTGAGAGGTAGTTTTTATGTTATCAGTGAGGTAAGTGGCCCGGTGACAAAACTACACACAGAATTATTGCCGAAACGCAAACTTGTTTTTACAGCTTCTCTCCTCAAGGAATATCAAAATTCAATTGCTATTTCTCTCCTTCCTTACTTGAGTAGATGACGCCTTCCTCAAACTTTTGTCTCCTCCTATAGTCAATAGTATTTCCTAATCTGGTTCATTAAATACAAACCAAAACGAGAATATATTGTATGTACAGATAAACAAACGATATTCCAGGTGGGTTTATTACAGTAAACAACAGTGTCTGAAAGTAATCCTGTAAAGAAGGCGAGGATGGACTGCCCCCGGCCAGCGTCCTCCGCCTCTTACAATCCAGTTATGGGGACACGTGTTGCCTCCTACAGCGCCCCTGGCAAGCCATATGGGATCTATCAGCCCTCTTAATACGTGGAAATAGTCACACGTTTCCATTTCCTAACGTCAATGAACAGATGTCCAGCACATATTGAGAAGATCTGGGTCGCGAGCAAGAAAGGAAGAGTCATAAGAATATTCCTTTTGTGTCAGTATTAAGTGTGGGGGTGGATTCAGTAAACGTAGCCTATGGTCACACTGTAGTATTATTTAAGAATCAACATTATAATATATTTTGCGAGTAGTGCCTGGGGATGGTCACACAAACACAAAACGACTGGTGTGGGTTATGAGTAAGCTGCTTCAGTGACCGTCATGTATAGAGCTGCCGGCATAACCAAAGTTAGGTTAATGAAGTTCAGTCTTAGAAGTTCATATCAAGTGATTCTGATAGTGTGTCGGTATAGAACTGACACAGGAGAATAAAATAAAGGTTACAAAAATAAAAGGAGATAGTAACATCATAGAGTCCACTGTTTAAACTGGACCTAGGCGATGTCACTTTAGCCCGTCTAAGAGAAATTCAACATCGTCTGTGTGTTTGTAAACAAGAGAGAACTTCAAGAAACTACAAGCCAATAACAGACACACCATCAATTATAAAGCATATTCCACAGTCTTGGCAATGCTTAGACATTACCCGGGTGTTGCCTCAGACTCCTGTGGTTCCCGCCAATCCTTCAGCAATACCAGGGCGTCAATGATGAGTCCATTTGTTTATTAATGTTAAACGCCGTGGAGCACATACGAGTAATCTATTCACACCCCTTGTGATTAGTTCAATGATTATAAGTTCCTAATACAGCTAGAGACGCAATAGCTTATAATGTCGTAATTGAATGAATATTAGTCTTAGTATGACTTGATATTTGTTCTATTGACAATGTTGTAATATATTTTTTCAACAATAAAGATTTTTTTAGCACGTACAGTAAGTCAGCTCCTACACTAAAAGGTAAACATTATTGATCAGACAGTATAAAACAAGTAAGTGAACTAATTCGTCATGGTTGGCTTCATTACTATGCCGTCTCATAGCGTGAGGACGTAATTCCTGTGCATTATTCTTTTCCAATAATTACAGTCACACATGATGTCTTGGTTTGTGGGTCGAGCGTCTTAGACCTCCTTGTGTTGGGTCGACAGGTCATTTCCCTTTTAAATTTTTCTTTGTAGGTTTCGCGTTCGATTAATAGTGAGTTGAAGGCCATATCCTGAAAATTAATGACCCATTGTTCTCCCATATTCAAATGAGACCTTGTACACACACACACACACACACACACACACACACACACAGTTTCAAGATAACTTAAATTTGATTTTTTTTATAACTAGATATGGGGGTCACAGGTCAAAGATTGTCTCAAAATTAGGAATATTCACTTGCCTCTCCCTTATACTAGAAGCAATATAAATAATGTTTTTTCCAAAGATACTCCCTCACAGAACAACACTGTTACCGAGTGGACACAACACTCGGCCCTAACCGTGAACGGGTATATCTACTGTAACTACAATTGGGAAAGTGAAGATAGTCGGGTGCAGTGTGGGCCACATTGTCATGTTATGTACCATGGCTTTAATAGTACTGGACCTCTACTGCCCCAAACAGGCCGTTGGGGTACACATTCACTAACAGATATTGTCAGATTTAGAATTTTATGATACTGTATATTGATGGTGTGGAAAGATTAGGCAGAGAAAAAACAAATCTGGGAGGGCTATTACTATTATTATTATTACTGTTTTATTATTATTATTATTATTATTATTATTATTATTATTATTGTTGTAAAAAGCCACCAATATAACACCTAACGGTAACATTAATTAGTGTTTGTATCTGGTGCCATCACTGAAATGTTGAAATTGATGTTAACTCAGTGAGACTTTTAAATGCATCCACAATTACTGAGGGGAGGGACGTGTAGGTGGGTGTAGGGGAGTGCAGGTGGTTGTAAGTGGGTGTGGGTGTACTGTAGGTGGTTATAAGTGGGTGTAAGTGGGTGGAAGTGGGAATAATGGAGTGTAAGTGGGTGTAGGTGGGTGGAAGTGGGAATAAGGGAGTGTAGGTGGGTGGAAGTGGGTGTGGGTGTAGGTGGTTATAAGTGGGTGTAGGTGTAGAGGGTGTCGTTGGAGTCGGGACAAAAGTTTGCTCCCCGTTGTGAAACAGTCACGGGAATGAGTCCGGGAACACAGGCTTCATTAGGGGTCGACAGCTCATGTTGCAGGGAGCGAACTTTTGACCCCGGGTGAAAGTGGTTGTTGGTGACGGTGTGGTAGTATATTATTAACACAGGCGGGTGCTGTATTGGGTTGTGTATTAATCGATATGATCATAGTGGTCCTCACCATCTTGGTTGACTTGAGGTTGGAAGTTGTGGTTGTCGTCATTAGGCTGCTGGTGGTGGTTGACGGGCGCAAGGGGATGGTTGTTGACTGTATTGTGATGGTCGTCAGTGGTGGTGAGGCTGGTCTCTGCAGGGCGTGGGGGAGGTACAGGGTCGCCCACCACCATGGCCGCCTGGACCAACAACGCCCATAACACCACGCTCTGTAAAGAGAAGTGAAAGACCGCGTGTTAAGTGAGGGTCTAAATTCCGGTTTAATTTAGGTTAACTTACCATTAACTTTAGATAACTCGATTTAATTTTTGTTTTGGGGTGAGTTTAGTTAAGTGAGTGAGAATACGTGGAACCTAGAGAGAGAGAGAGAGAGAGAGAGAGTCGGCATCATTTGAATATGGTAATACCTACCCTGATTACCAGCCATTTAGCGGGAGTTTCACATAATGTTGACATCAAACGGTTTAGATTTCTTTTTAATTAACAATAACAGTTAATTTTATTCATTTCCTCTTTTATCATTTTTATTATTATTTCATTACCATTGTCTTTGTTTATTGCGTGGAGGAGCGCACTAAAGGTTATCATGTCTGCAGTAATATGTACACGAGTTGATACGAAACAAAAAGAGAAAGAGAGCGAGGAACAATAGAGGGAGAGTGAGAAATAAAGCGAGTGCGTGAGAGAGAGAGAGAGAGAGAGAGAGAGAGAGAGAGAGAGAGAGAGGGAGGTGTGGTTGAGTTAATGTGAGAATACCTGCACATTACCACACCTGTACTATCTCATTACCGAAACAGCAGGGTGAGGATTTGGTGGAGACTATATGGTGGTGAATGACGACTCTCTCTCTCTCTCTCTCTCTCTCTCTCTCTCTCTCTCTCTCTATTGTTTCTCTTTTTCTTTCGTTCTCTTCTCTCAATTTGTCACTGTCTGGTTTTTCTCTGGCGTTCTTTTACTCCTTTTATTTTAATCTCTTGTGGTTGAACCCTTTCATGGATGATGGCTTAACCCTTTGATGGATGATGGTTTAACCCTCCGAGAAAGATGTTTTAGCCCATTGAGAACTATGCTTAGCCCTTTGAGAACTATGCTTAATCCTTTGAGAAACGAGGGATTAATCTTTTCGTCCCCCCCCCTTAATGGTTAACTGTTACTTAGGCTCGCGGGAAGGGTATCCACTGTACCAGGGCTGAGACCATAATGGGCCATAAATGATGACTATCTGTCACCTTCATCATACTCACCCACTAACACAGGGAAGAGGAAGGAATCAGGTGTTAATAGATGATGTGGTTTATGGCAGTCTCCACCCACACACCCGAGAGAGAGAGGTGTGTGTGTGTGTGATTGCCGTTGATTATAATGGAATCTATCTGTGAATTGGGTTCGCTTACGGGCGGGTTCATGTGGCAAGGAGTAAAGACTAAGGTTGTGGGGTGAGGTATAGGACTGTTCCTCGTGCGTTATTGTTGTCGTTCGTCTCCGTTTTCTTTTACACTGTAACAGTTTAAACGAAGAAGACTGACTGTTGTACATCAATCTTAAATTCTCTGTATGGTGAAGACGCGGGAAATACTGCAACTGGTGTACCGTTTTGTTTGTCATACAGAAGGGGATACAGGGTACTGATATTGTAGTGTAAGGTCCCATTTTCCTTGGGATATCAACAGGGATACTATTACATATCAGGATCTCTTTTGGTTGTGGTATTTTAATGATATGTTCTTGGTAGTATTGATCAGTGCTTTCTCTTCAGGATGGGAAATGTGTCAGGTTTCATTTTGTTATCATAAATGGGAGAAACTATTTGACATGTATCGGCGGCAGTTCATATATTACGGGCTGTCAAGTTACCGAAGGAGGTCAAGTAGGTAGAGCTAAGGGCGTCTGTGGTCAACTGTCGCTCGTTTATCTTCATTTCCAGTAAGAGATGACTTGGGTGCCTTCAGAAAACTTGTTTAGCATAAGTGACGACCATGAGGAATAAGCCTCCACATAATCCTGCTGGGTCTTCTTGGCGAGGACTGTATCTGCACCACCAGTACTGTTCCTTCCTCCTTCACCACTGACAGATAACACCTCCACTGATATACTGTACTCTTGGGTCGACACCACCATCAGGAGACAACACCTGGGTCTTCACCACCACCGGGTCTTTATGCCCTGCTCCGCCTTGCCGCGCCGCCACTCACATGACCCCGACACTGTCTCTTGTCGTCTTAGAGATTAACAAGTTGTTGCATAAATCTGACATAATCCTCCCAGCTGATTTACATCTTGGGTGGACCAGCACGAAGGTCCAAGTTACACCATTAATATTGGTTGTGTCACAAGATGAGATGAATATCGTGTGTGTGTGTGGGGGGGGTTTATTTTTTTGTGTTAAAATCTGTTTATTTATCTCTGTGGGTGAGGCAGTCTACTTGTTTGTCTCTTACTCTTCCTCCGTTCTTCTCTGTCTCTCTCTCTCTCTCTCTCGGAATATGCACCCGGGGTAGCCTCACCATAAATTAAGCACCTCCTCTCCCCCCCTGGTAGATAATGAGCCCAGAGCCGCAGTATTATTTAACCTTCACCTCCCGGATAATTCTAATGAGTCCTGGTCGATGAACTGAGAAGATGGGTGGAGGGAGGGGCGAGCAGTACCTGGAAGATCTCAAAGGAAATTGATAAATAATAATATAACATAGATGAAATAGGTTGGAAAAAATGAATAGAGGAAGGTAAAAAAATAGGAAGAAGAAAACAAAAGTATGGAGAAGGAAATTTAAAAGAAAGAAAAAACAATAGAATATTTTAGAATGAGACAAATCTAAAAATTAAATCAGGAATGCCAGAATAAAACACACACACACACACACACACACACACACACACACACACACACACACACACACACACACACACACACACACACACACACATTCAGGAGACAGATGAGGTGTTCCATGTAGTTTTGTGGTGTGTCATTTATCATGTATCTTTATTGTGGTTTTTTTTTCTTGTTTTACAGAGAGAGAGAGAGAGGTAAAAGTGAGAGATGAAAATGAGACAAAGAAATATAATTGAGAGAGAGGTGAAAGTAAGGGAGATAGAGAGAAAAAGGGTAAAGTGAAAGAGACACAGTAAGAAAAAGAGGGAGACATAGATAAAAGGTAGATTTAGAATAATTGAGATAAAAGTGATACTGTGTGGCAGACATACAGATAAATGTGAGAGAGACGGAGAAAGAAATGAAAATATGTGAGGAAGGCAATCTGATAAAAAAGGAAAGGTTGTATAAAAGTAAGTGAACGAGAGAGAGAGATAAAGAGAAAGGAATGGGAAACATAATCACCTCATTCCTAGACTAACGTCAGAACTACCCAACAATCCTGGTCGCTGGACGAGGCAATCCCTTTCTTTCTAACACACACACACACACGTTCTGAAGTCTTGACGATATCTCATTTCTTTGATCTTTTTCTCAAATATGTCACGTAAATCGACGACTTCTCCTTTTTTTAGTTACAAGTATTCTTTCATTAATATAAAAAAGAGGAGGAGTCACAATGATAAAAGCACCAATAGGAATCGAGGAAGTCAAAAGGAGGAGTCACCTCGATAAATTAACCAGTGAGGATTGATGAAGTCAAAGGAGGAGAAGTCACTTGCCTCAGACACTGCCATCAAGAAGCGCTAGTTGGAGTCGAGACAATGAAGTTACCTCGACCTAATAACATTACCACATAACACCTGCTGTAATTGAAACGTAATAAGGTGAACTAACAGGTGATTAACACTTAAGTACGATTAACATCATCCTAGACGTTGTGTGTGTGTGTGTTATGTAATGCTTTTAAGATGGTTTTAAATAGTTTCTTTACACACACACCACATGGAACGCATTATTTTATTTACCTGTTAAAATCCTGACTTAGGTTGTAGTACCATAAGATTACAGTATCGAACGAGCATTTGTTTACCTGGATAATGTAATAATCATCTTGCGTCAGTCTAAGGAAAAAAAAAGGTTTGTTAAAGAGTAAAGTGGCATCATTTCTGGGAGGTTTACAGTTTGTCAATATTCTATTATAAAAACCCGATACGAGACAGTCCTGGGACGACAGATAGCGTTTATAGTGTGGGCGAGGCAGAGGGTGATCCTGTGGCGGAGGTGCTGTTACTGTTGCTACTGTTACTGATGTTGTTACTTTGTCTTGATACCGATTACTACTGCTGTGGTTGTTGTTACTTTCACCGATGTTATTTTTACTTTCAATGTTGTTGCTACTTTAATTGATGTTGCTACTTTAACTTTAGCTTACGTTACTTTCAATGCCGGTGTTACTACTTTCACTGCCGCTATTCACATAATGCTGGTGTTACTGTCACTCGTGCTCCGTACAGCCTCTGCTATGCTCGGTACAGTCTGTGCTATGCTCAGGACAGTTTCTGCTATGCTCCGTACAGCCTGTGCTATGCTCAGTCTGACTTGATATAGTAGATTAAAGAGAGAGTGACGGAATGTGCACGTCTCTCTCTCTCTCTCTCTCTCTCTCTCTCTCTCTCTCTGTGTGTGTGTATGTCTCTCTCTGTCTCTTCTCTCTTTTTATTTTCCATTGTGCCTTTTCTTTTCTCTTGCTTAACTTCCATCCTTCTATCTGTCTGTACGCATGTTCGTCGTATTTTTTTCTTTTCTAATCCTCTCCATTTTGTGTTCTCCATTCTCCCTCGTCTCTCTCTACGCTTTCTTTCTTTCTTTCTTTCTTCTCTTTCCCTCTCTCTTTCTTTGTTCTTCTTTCTTTATTTGTTCTTTCCTTCTTTTTTCTTTCTTTATTCTTTATTTTTTTATTCTTCTTTTTCTTCTTTCTTTTACTCACACACACACACACACACACACACACACACACACACACACACACACACACCGGGTAAGTCTGAGGTAAATTTGTCTTTCCGGGTGAGGTGTGTTTCCCCCACAGTCTAGGAAGGGAAGACGAAGGCAAACACACTCCACTGATTGCTACACCCTTATAAGGTGGCGGTAGATGTGAAGGAGGTAATACTAGTGTCTTGGGGTATTTTGGTGGATGTGAAGGAGGTAATACTAGTGTCTTGGGGTATTTTGGTGGATGTGAAGGAGGTAATATTAGTGTCTTGGGGTATTTTGGTGGATGTGAAGGAGGTAATACTAGTGTCTTGGGGTATTTTGGTGGATGTGAAGGAGGTAATACTAGTGTCTTGGGGTATT